TGGAGTATTGCCCTATATGGATGCGAGACGTGGACAATGACGCAAAGAGACAAATCAATATTGGAGGCATTAGAGATGTGGTGCTGGCGAAGGATGGAAAGAATTAGTTGGACAGAGAAACTAACAAATGAAAGGGTATTGGACATTGTGAATGAACGGAGAACTTTGCTCGACACACTAGAGAACAGAAGGGGAAGAATGTTCGGCCACCTTGTGCGACACGACGAATTCATAAAAACCATTATTGAGGGAAAAGTGGAAGGAAAGAGGAGAAGGGGAAGATCGAGGATAGCCTGCATGAAGCAAATCAAGGAAAAGATTGGCGTCGAGTCGTACAGGGGACTCAAAGAGTTGGCGGAGCATAGAGGGAGATGGAGGTGGATAGAGGGAGATGGAGGTGGATACATAGACTGCACTGACAAGAGCATAGCTCTTAAATTTAGAGAGAGAAAACAGGTGAAAAACCAGTGTGAATGTAAAGGATAGGAATATGGGCCTTGTAGACACCACAGTATTGTTAGGGATTACTTTGGATTCTAAGCTACCATGGGACCCACATATTGATAAATTGACAAATATACTTAGCTCTGCAGCATATGCCGTAATGAAGATACGCCAGGTAACGCATGTAAATACCGCCAGATTAGTGAACTTTAGTTATTTCCATAGTGTAATGTCGTACGGAATTTTACTTTGGGGAAACGCCGCTGACACATTTACTATTTTTGTGCTGTAGTAGAAAGATTTATTCGATCAATTTATAATGTTATAGTCAAAGAATCCTTAAGAGATAAGTTTGAAGAATTTTTGCCAATTTCTTAGGATAATTTTGAAGAAATTGACATAATTACGGTTGCATCACAATAATAAATATACGAAAATGTATTACTTGTAAGAAAAAATATTAAATTGATTCTTAAAAACAGTGATGTTACAATTAAGTACTACATTTCTACAGTACAAATAGTTTAATGTATAAATACTTAACACTCTATTTAACTTATTATATAAGAAAGGATTAAGGAAAGTAGAGAATCATGTGTAAAGATGCAGACTATATCTTTCCGTCTTTTGTTAGTGATATCAGAGGAATAAAATTAAGGTTAAAAAAAACTTTTTAAAAACAAGCTTTTATTCAAATGCGCTAAAAAGGAAAAAAGTAAATTTCAACTAAATTAGTTAAAAATATCTGTTTTTAAATAGATTTTCAAATTTTAGAAGTCCGCCATATTGGATTGAGAGTGACGTCACATTTTTTTCGAGTTACTCTCAGCAAGCCCTTTAATTTGATACCCATATTGTAGGAATGCATTAAAAATGATTGGTCCGCCATTTTGGGTATGCCGCCATATTGGATTTAGAATGACGTCACACTGTTAATTAAGCATTGAATTGAACGAGCATACCAAATTTCAGCTTAATCGGTTGAGGGCAAGTGCTTTAAAATTGAGTTGTAAGATTTGACCGTAACAAACATACATAGCAAGTTAAATAAAAGCTTGTAAAAAAGCACTTATTACAAAAGCTTATTACAAAGTATCTCATTATATTACAGACAAAAATGCTTGGATTTGAACTGTTCCAATCATTCCAACAGGTTTTCTATATTAAAATAAATCTTGATTGTATATATTGACGTTGTAACAACATGATGATTAGTAAATGTTGTAACATTGTTCTTTTAATGTTGTGGAGTTGTTTTCGCTCGTTTTTCTCCGCAGCAAAAAAAATGTCCAATAACTAGTAGGAGGAAAATAAAATTATGGACGATTCAAAACAGTTCATCCAAAATGAATACTGGTATTTTGAATTTTAGACAAATATTTAGAAAGTTACGATGTCATGATGATGTCAAATATTTGTTTATTGAATGATGGACCTGATAGAAAATTATATATAAAATCATAGATATTTTTTCCAGTCCCAAATCTTCAAAGAATCAATTGAAACAGCTGTTTTAAAAAATCTTTCTCATCATTGTCGCAATGTTTGCCTCGTTTTTAATATTTTGTTTAATTCATATGAATCACCATCCTATCCTCCTATTGTTATGATAATGACAATATACAATTATTATAATAATAGTAGACTAATACACCTGTATAAACATAGCTTAATTATATGGCAAAAGATTTTTTGGAAAATTGTAAGTAGTCTTCTTATCAGTTCCTTTTTTACTCTTTTAGGATGAGGGCTGGGGCATAAAGAGGTTTCTTATCAAAAAAAACTAAAAAAAATCCTGACTGTTTTACCTCGCCTTAACGAAAGTAGAGATGTAATTTATTTCTCGCTTAGTTCTTGGTGTGAAATATCGTTGGATATATTTTCGAAATATTTAAAGTTTGATAAGAAAACTTGTCAAGGGCTAGTGAAATACTGTCTATAGGTTTGCGATCGATGGGCAACTACCAATTACAGAATTTCTACTATGCGCGTTAGTACGACACGAACTTGGCCGGTTCTTTTACCTGTACATAGCCATGACCCATCTAGGGGAATAATAGCCACACACCAAAAGTGAAACTTTAGGGTAATATATTTTTTTAATGCTGAATAATAAAAAAAAATACTAAATTATGATCAAGAATAAATCTGAGTTGCACCACTCTTACCACTAAAGGGTGTGACAAATTTTCGTTCTATTCTCACACCGACAAGATTTCATAAGAATCGGTCATACCGTTTCGGAGAAGCTTGGTTCCAAACACAAGTGACACGAGAATTAAATACAAATGAAATGATAATACCTGCCAATCTTCTTTGCTAGACTGTGGCCTATAAAAACATACGAATGCCAGTTACTAATATTAACGGGCAGATAGTAAAGAGAGAAAGAGTATCAACACACAAGGGGCTAGAGACCGCATACAGGGGCACCGCTTGCGCCAAGCTTATGAAATAATACAGCATAAGTGTGTGATTCGCCCCCAAACGTCGCCTTGCAAGTTTTTGCAATCCGACCGTGTTGTCATACTGACGACTTGTATAATCTAAACTCGGCCTATCCTCCCTACACGCCACCAACTTTGTCATTTCAAACAAAATTTTAACTATGTGGACACTAGTGGGGTGCTCTGTATATGGACAACATATTTAGATCCAACATACGAATATGCCCAATGGATATTTGTAGCAAGTTTGCAAGAGAGCTAGTCCATGGTAGATTTTCCGCTCGAACTGGAGCACCCGCTTAAAGAATTTACTTCCACTTAACAGAAGATCACAGTAAAATAACACTACCTTGTGGTGGTGTTGTGTTCCTGTCGGTGAGTAATATTCCAGGGCTCCACTGGTTAGGGGATCGGGTCAGGGTAGGCAATGGTGCATGTGATATTTATGGTATCGCAAGCATCTATAGGCTCCGGTGGCCGCTCACCATCAGGCGGACGATAGGCTTGTTTCATGATCATCATCCCTGCCAAATTTCAATATGGAAGATAGTTGATATATACCACCAGCTTGGGAACCCATTATACAACAGATAAAATCCCAACCCCGAGCACACACTGCAAGACCAACAGATAGTATTAGTTCTTTTTGTTTGCATGATTTCACATAAGAAGGAACCGGCGAAACAAACTCAGAGAGGCCGAGTTTGTTTCGCCGGTTCTTCTCAGAATGGTCTCCTAATTTTGGAACCGGTGGTAGTTTACGGTAGTTAGGGTTAAATAAGTCAACTCAAAAATACAAAAAAGATTTTTAAATAAAGTACTTTATTAATTAAATTATTATAGCTAATAAATAAAGAACATAGACAAGAAAGTTTTAAAAATATTCCAATGAAATATGCGAACGCTCAATAAAAGTCTTTCGAAGGTAGCTCGGCAAAGTAAATAAAAAATCATTATTCAGACGACGCAGATCTCAAACTCTAAATCAATTGTTTGCGCCAGGCAGGGGGGTGTAAATGCTCATGGATACTCTACAGCCGGCTGCAAGGTTATGTCAGACTCTTACTGACTAAAACACATCCGTAATTCATACTTATGGCCAGAAGGGCCTTTCAAGCTTCACCTGAAGCAATCATCCTCTGATCTGATAGGAATTTTCAATAGGTGAGAAATTATCTTTAACCAAAGTTGAACGACAATTACTCTTTAAGTAACAAATCTATCTTAACCGTTATAATACATTAAGTCAATATTTCACAAACGGATCACTAACTCGAAAAATAGTCTTAGGTTAGTTACCCATAAGTAATTTTAAAGGACCTATTCAAATATATCCCACACGATGGGGTAGATGATGAAAAAAAAATCATTCCCAGGTTGCATTATGTAAGGTAGGGTAGAGGAGCTACCGTAAAAAAATTTTTTCAATAATTTATTCTACGAGAGATATACATATCTCTACAAAATTACAGCTCTCTAGTTCTAATAGTCTCCAAGCAAAGCCGGGTAAAAACAGACGGACATGAAGAAATTATAAGGGTTCCGTGTCAGGACTACGGCACCATAAAAAATCAGCTAATTTTAGTGTACGACACATTCATATACGTAAATGGCTTTAAATTCCGATTGTTTTTTATGTTATAAGTGTGGCAAACAAATATGGCCCGCCTGATGGTAAGCAGCATCATAGTCGTGATTGCGATATCAAAAATATAACTTGGGCCGTTGCCTATCCTGACCTTATCCTCCTACCCCGTGTAGCCCTAAAACCTTACTCACTGACATAAAGAGGACCACGCGCGCTGGCCTATGTTGTCATCGTCTAACTGTGGGCATAGTTCTAACGCGTACAAATAAATTTGGTGACTCATTTCTTTGTCGCACTATCCGTAAATGGAATGAATGCTCTGACCGCTCACGTGTTCTCTCCCTCTTACAACCTGGGATCCTTTAAAAGAGGCGAGAAGAAGCAACATGCAGGCCGGCAGGGTGAGGATAGCTGGTGTGGCAGGTAGAACTTCTGTATCAGCTATCTTCGCGTCTAGATTTCACCTTCACTTAACAACAGGTGGGGAGGAGTCATTTGACGGACCAATCTATAAAAAAAAACACAACACCACCAAAAGGTAGTGTGTTTTAAAATTAAAGTTTTGACTACATTAGCCTAGTACTTAAATATGTAAAATGTTGGGTTATGAAAAATTTATTTTATTATTATTATGGCAATACGCTGCCCGCACAGACTTTGTTTTTTAAGTGCTCCATTTTGCGCAAAAAAAATCATAGACGCGTGTCTCAAGCGGATGGGACTCGCACCCGCAGTGGTTTTTACTGCCCTAAATGTTCGATCCTATATAAGGGGCTCAGGTATGGTGGCAGTATTTCACAAGGAGCAACGTTGCCTCCTTTATGGTTTTCCGCCGCGCTCGAGTAAATTCCAAAATCCCTGCCTGGGCTTCCCCTACTATAGAGAGTTGAAAATTTCGCGCGAGTGTTGCTCAGTCCATTTTCCATGTTTTTGATTTAGACTGACCATGATAACCGGTGGGTCATATACCGAGTGCTACAACTACACCACAGCACTCTAGACACACATATTAGGGACTTCGGTATTCAGCATACGTGTCGGGTGACCGCTGCAAGATTCCGGATCTGTACTTGTTTCGTCCAGCTCAAGCCTAGTCCTTAAGCTGGACGAAACCTACTGCTCCAGTAGGGCAAAGAAACCACCATGCCCTTCTCAGGCACATAAAAGTCTGACCATAGTCAGGCACCTTACGGTGCCTTGTAATAGTTAGCCTAAATCCTAATTTGTATGGTATTATCTCTACAGAAAAAAAATGTATTTATAAACAAAACCTGGCTCTTCACTCTCTTATCTTCAGACAAAGTGAAGTATTAAGCAAACTTTTTAAGGGTTAATAAAAACTTTTTTCTATCTTTCTTTGTTATACAACAACAAAAAAATGTGGAGCGAAATTAAAGACGAAGAAAATAACGAATCGTAATTATACTTATGTGAAATAAAAACAACTCATTTTAAACCAATAACTAGACTGCAATGTAACCGGCGAATTTGCCGTAAGTGGAACCGATAATAATTATGCTCGTTTCGTTACAGCAAGGTAAGCTACCCCGTATACTGCAAATGAATAGTCTAGGAAAGCCTCCTTCAATACTGAGGTAGCCATCATAATACTGTCTGGGAGTAGACACAGGATCTTTTAAAGCGAGGACATAAATAACAATATGATTACATGTTGTTTTACACAATATATGTTTATTATTTTTACAGTTTTAACAAAATATTTATATAATCACAAGAGATTGTGAATAACCAAGAACATATATCTTAGTAGAAATGCATTTACACATTTTTTAGTATAACTTGAAATGTTCAATTTTAGTCGCCGATGCCAAGCACAGCTTAGCAGCAGTATAGGGCCCATCTAAAATTAATAAAAAAATACCAATAAGAGCTGGTGAATTAATTTAAAAATAATAAGTAAAAAACGGAGTTTAGTCTGGGGTGCCGCCTTGTGGCGAAACTAGCTCATAATTACTAGATGATAGACTGTGTATATTTTATTTGCCTCCTATTGCGCATACTGTGGCAACCTATAATTAAAGCGACACTAATGCTAGCTTTAAATTGCTTCTGCAGGTACTAACACTGACATTGTGTTATGCTTTGTTGGTTGTCCTTAACAAAAAAAATCTAAAAAATAATAAACAGATTATTTGTTTCTTAGGTTTTCACGCACATCACTCATTAAATAAAACTAGTTTTAACGGGTTAATGCACGAAATTTTATTTTTTTATTGACGTTTCGTGCATTAGCTCGTTAAAACTAGTTTTATTTAATAAACATTAGCACAATCAAAGAAATATACTTTAAGAGTTTATCAAACATATCTTTTCATTTCATATCTATTTAGATCTATTACATTCACTTTACAGTATTCTTACATAAAAATTGTTATAACTAACCTTCACCTTACAGAAGACTACAGTAAAACAACACTAACTTTTGGTGGCGTTGCCTGTGCTTCTGTCGGTGAGAATGTTTCCACGGCTGCACGGGGAAGGGATTTGGATCAGGTTAGACGGTGCGAGTGATGATTTTGGTATCACATGGATCTATAGGTTATGGCGACCGCTTACTATCAGGCGGGCGCTCCGCTTATTTGCCACCTTTTAACATAAAATAAGACATTCAATTAAACTTAATGAAAAAATATATATCTTACGCACCTATTGGAAACCAGCTCGTTGTGGGAATTCCACTATTAAGTCTTGTTGAAGTTACAGCGTGTCGAAGAGCAAACGGCACACACACTGACAGACATATTGGAGGTTCTGCAGTTGCTGTTAGAAAAGAAAAATACACGCAAAATAAATCAAAGTTTATATCTTCTAGCGGAATCGACAGAGGTGTTCCTGCTCAATAAAAAATAGAACTAGATAGCACTACCACCCACTGGGTCCAATTGTGAATCTCAACCATCCAGAGACCTACTCCAATGCACACATAATCATCTCACAAAAATAAAAAACTCCAGCTGTTTAGTAGCCGTTCAAATAGAATCCTCGAACTCAACAACAGCACTACGTATGTGCCCCCAATGTGATCCTAAACAATGCAGGCAGGACCCTTTCAATGGGGATGTTGGCTAATTTTTTTCTTCGTTTATTAAGTAGTAGATGATGAAAAAGTATTGGACACGTATTTTTCCTTTTTCCACACATAATATTATATACATTACAGATATGTATGGCAGAATACCAGTGCAGCAGGTATTTTACCTGTTGCGTGTGCTGAGCCATATCCAGTGTTGGCATCACATAAAATACACATTCTGTAGCTGTTTTTTATTGTTTGTTGATTTTACTTGTTCGTTTCGTTTTACTATATGTTTAATGTATTTTTGCATTTTATGTGTATGTTATGTGCTGTCAACAATTAAAATAGTTTTCTTTCTTTCTTTCTATTGATTAGAAATATCACCATGACGTCACGTCTTGGTACAATTTTTATAAGTGACGTTATTAGCCCCCACTCCCAAAGTTTGACGCGCTATAACTAAGCAATTTTTGGTTCATTGACAAAAGAAAAAAAATATGTCCATTATTTTTGATTATCGAACTGACGGACTAAATATAATTTCGTTTATTTTACATCGCCATCATCCTTATTGTACGGATGAATTTTCATTGAAATCGATTAAGCCATTTGAGAGGAGTGCCACCAAAATTTTAGAACCCGACTACAGCGCCATCTACCAGGTCGAGTAGTGGATCCTAATTATTTAGCAATTAAAATTGCATCGAATTTGATACTCGAGCTATTTTTATAAAATTACTTTTCAATAAATTTACCTTTAGTGCCAAGGATTTTAATGTTGGAGTATGAATTTTTCCTTAAATATACCCTGAAGTCTTGTGGAATATCCCGACACTGAGGAACGTGATAGTTCCAGGTGCGATCAGTTAGAATTTCTCCGTTTTCAGGATTGTGTTCCAACTTTTCTATCGTCCAATATCCCAAGCCCATTGTAAAAGCACCTTCGATCTAAAATTAGTTTTATATACATTCTGCATGAAGGATGTAACACAGTTCCTAGTATTATAATGTATCAATTCATTATTTTTATTGGAATTGTAAAATTCGGATTTTTTACTCATTATGATGTAACTATAATAAAACATGTTCAATTAATAAAAATAATCATAATTATATAACACATAGTAATGGTGTCTTGCCAGAGGATGAGCTATACTGTGACAATTATACATATACTTACTTGACCTATGTCAAGTGCCGGATTTACACTTTGTCCAGCATCTTCAATCAAATCGACACGAAGTATTTCTGATTCTCCTGTCAGTATATCTAATTCAACTTCAGCTAAACAGACACCATAATTGTAAAATATCTGCCCATCTAGAGTACTCACGAACCCATGTGTCTGTAGATCTACTTGTAATAAATATGCCGTTCGTATCAATTCTTCCCAAGGAGCCAGTGGTTTCAAGAGCTTGATCGGCGCCAACCTCTTTAAAAGTTCTTCGCAACATCTCTGGACACCAATACTAATGCACTGACTGGTGATACTCCCTCCAGTAACGTCTGCGTTGGGGCCAATTATTGTGTCATTTGCCTTTACTTTTATTTTTGACACAGGTATTTTCAAAAAAAATGCTGCAATTTGAACAGCTTTAGTGTTTATACCTTGCCCCATTTCAATACCAGAGTGAGTAATTACAACAGTGCCATCGGTATTATAAACAGAAAGATTTACATCTAAGCGAAGGCCAGCAGGTGTATTAAAATAACTCATCATTGAAACTCGTAATCCACGTTTCTTCCATCTATTTGTTTTGTTAAATTCTTCCACAGCGGTTTTTCTATTTTTATATTCGGAATTAGTTTTGAGGGTTTCGACCATTTCTTTTATATCACTGTGCAAAATCGTGTCTAGGTTTGCTAAACGAACATCTATTGGATCCACTGATACTTCGTAAGATATCCGTTCCATCAACATTTCTGCCATTGATATACACTCCATTGTACCTTAACCAAAATCATAAAATTAAGCACAGTTTCACAATTTTTTAGATTATCATCAACATACGAAATAACTTTAATAGTAATGCCAAAGAAGAAAAGTAGAATAATCAAAAAACCGGATAAGTGCGAAACAGACTCAGCAAAAGAGTGTTCCTTACAATTTTGCAGGTACGCAACATAAACGGCAGTATATTTATTGTAGTTAGATTTTTTCACAGCATCAAGGGACCGTAAACTTGAGTAAACGGTTTAAATTTCAACTTGATACCTGCACGCGTTCCCAAGGTAAGAGTTTTGATAGACAATCGGAGAGAGAGTCAACAAAGTGATCCTATAAGGGTTTCGTTTTTTTTCTTTTGTGATAAGGAACCTTATAATGCAAGTTACTGTAAATCGATATCTCGAAGTTGGTATTCTGTAAATCGATATCTCTTAATCTTGATCGATGTTTCCATTTCCGTTGAACTTGCAAGTTCAAGAATCGATACTAAACCGGGATAAAGTTAATCCAGATGCCTTAGTGCCGAGTTATATAAGTATAGTACTGTTTCAAAGACTAGTTCCTACCTTACATGGTAACGTTATAGAATAAACTTCCGAACACGAATTACCCTAGGGACTACAGTATTGGGTTTTTTTTAATGTTTTTGTAGTTTTTGCGGTGCATCTGTGACACTTCTGGAATTGCAAACGTCCGTAGGCCGTGGTAGCTGCCATTAGGCAGACCGCACGCTTATTTTCTATGCAGTATATTAAGTACTATCAATGTGTTAAATTTTTACCTGGAGCTCGACACCATGTATTTTTTGGCGTATCGGTTACAACGTTACTTCCTTTAAATGAAAATCTAGTTTTCTTATATAAATTACCGTACGCTTCAAGAGCGACGAGATAAAGTGCTTCATTTATCATGTACCCATTATCTTCATATAACTGGTAATCTACATATTGAATAACGCCTGATCTATTGACTGCAACCTGACGTAAATATAAAATATATAAAATTAGTATAATAAATCATCGTGTTTACCATTGATTGCTTTGCTACAAGAAAATGTATATTATTTATATCTAAGTTTCTACTTACTTCGTATTCCGTTGAACATGGGAAGCGTTTGCCAATAGCCCTTATATTTGTGGTTAGTGGTTGTATAAATCTGCAAGGTCGGTTCAATTTCTTCGCAACTAAACTACAAGCAACTGCAACTTGTAAAGCTCGAGATACTTTGTAGCCATATGACCCACCAAGACGTCTTACATATACATCTATACTAAAACACGTTTTATTTTAATTTTATAAACTAAGTAATCAAAAATTATAATGTTCTGAACTAACCTATTTGCATCCATTTTCAGTGCTTTAGATATCGCAGCCTGAGTTGCGTCCATCCATTGCGTTGAATTGTGCACTTCTAATCCATCTTCAGATGGTCGAACAACACAAACAAGTGTTTCCATCGGAAAATGATACTGCCAATATATTGTGCTTCCACCTTTAAAAATCTTTGCAATATCTATACCTCTGATAACAGCGGGAATCGCTGCAAATTGCGTTACTCTAGCTGGATCTTTTTTAGCTTCATTGATATCAATTATCGGCTTTTTAACATTACTATAAGTGACTTTAACTAATTTGACAGCTTTATCTGCTAAATATTGCGTTTCAGCGACTATTATTCCTAAAGGTTGATTGAAATACTTTATGGCCCCACTGCATAATACTTCTTCATTTTTTGGAAACAATGGATTAGGAATATCTGTAAACGAATTAATACCGGGAATATCTTCTGCTTTATAAAATTGTAAAACTCCGGGGATTTTCTGAAAAACAAGACGAATCGTAGGTACTAATAGAATTCACATTAATAATATTTCCATAGATCGTTCCATAGTCGTTCCCTCTCACAACTCAGATATATTTAACACGCCTTCTTCGTCAAAACTATACTTTTGTGGAACGAACTCCCGCTAGACATTAGAATGTCCCAAACAAACATTCCTTGAAAACCAAGCTGCGAAGCTTTTTACTGGAACAGGCGTTTCGTTAAGTAGTTTGTCGTCATGTATGTATAATATGAAGTACGTATGTGTTTATGTGTAAATGTATAGTTATATTATTTGTGTATATTTACTAATATATATTATTGTTATATAATCATATCTATTATTACTACTATTTATATTTCTTTAAATGTGATTTCCACCTCAGTTGTGCACCCTACCACTAAAATCTGCCCAACACCCTATGTTTGACTGGAAGAGAATGCCTACGGCATTGAGTCCGCCATTGTATAGTATGTGCATGAAGAATACAAAAAAAAGATATAAATCAATGAGTTATTACCCACACTAGAATCTTTCCTGTCTGCCAAATTTTTTAACTTGAATTCACATATAGAAAACCGGCTTACCATAGCATCGGTTGGATCGATATTTACAATGTTTCCACTGCATTCAGTACTAAGAACAAAAGCAGCAAACACCTCAAATGGAAAGGAAGGTAGATCCTCAGTATACAAGACTTCTCCGGAGCATTGCCGCTACTCGTAAAAAAGAGAGAAATATTTTTATATACAAATTATAAAACTGATATGCTTCAAATAATAATCTGCTTAAATCTCGACGATAACATAAATGACAATAATGAAATAAAATCGGTGCTTTCGTTAAAGCAACATATATCTAAGAACATCTCGTATTTTATCAAAGTTTGCAAGTAAAAAAATATTTTAAAATAGGTAATATCTAAATCAAAATGCGACGCAAATGCTCACATGGGAGGAAAATAAATTTAAAAATCTAACGAGGCCTAGAGCGTTGTTAGTACCGGTCGCACTCGTCCAACATGAGGCTGCTGTATCTACGTATGCTGGTAGCGCCCAGACCTGTTTACCTTCCTTCCAAATCCCATTTTCACTCGTGTGTGAGATTGCCCACTTTATCATTAGCTTTAATATTGTTTTTCAATATACATAAAAATGAATCACCAAAAAGTATGTACGCGCATGAGTGCCGAACCTAACTACCACTACATAGTAAGCTTGTTTTAAATATTATTTTGTTGATGTTTTTAAAGGAGATTGCTCAAATTGGCCCAAATGCACAAAAAATATTGACATACACGGCAATTCTTGGCGTAATTTATAATTTAATTTACAGTCATTAGATTTCAACGGACACCTTTGTATAATATATTTACTTTTAATAAGGACTTTTAATTTTACCGGTTTGGAAAACATACGAATCATTTTTAATGGCTATGGGTGTAGTAACATTCAGCCAAAGACTGATCGAAGTTGTTAATATAACAAATCTCTTTTTTAAAGATCGATAAAATATTTTTTTTTTATTACACTGTGGTATTAATATCCACAACTATATTATCATTTTCACTAGATGCAAATGTGCTCTGACAATTATTATAGATGGTAGGCGACATCATAAAGTCTATTGCCATTTTTCGCCAAACACCTCCATAAACGCATTATAATCTGTATATATGTTAGACTTTAAGGTATCTATCTATGGGCCTACGTTCCCTGACTATAAATTAATAAATAAATAAAATTATAAGGTGTGATACACTAAAAATCTAAAATATGGTTATCTTAAAAACATAACAATAATAATGAAGCTACTGAATATATGGCTATAGAACCTAAATCTCTGAGTGTACGCGACGACCGAAGCGAGAAGAAATAAAGTTTACATCGAAACAAGACTGATTTATAAAATATGTCTATAGATGCAATTTCACATGTAACTGATTTGTGCGATCATTAAAATGTTATTCCATTGTCTTTTTATTAGAATGAGTCGAATATCGTAATAATAGAGAATTTTGTCCATAGTAACTGATTGTAAAATTGATAGTTCCAAACGATATTCTGTCTCTTTCTAACCAATAATCTTATAAGAATTTGCCTAATCGATTGCCACGGCGCCAAGCGGTGGCGCTGAAAAACTGTATAAGAATCTGATAGTTCGGACCGATAGGAAAGACAGGGACGATAGGCTGTCTCTTTCTAGCAGTCTTATAAGATTTTGTATGAATTGTTAGCTTTCGGAAATATTATGTTATTGTGTTTTAATTGGTATGTTTTGTATTTTGTTAGATAAAAGATAGCTATAGGATTAGGATAGCAAAGTTCCATATAGATTACTATGATAGTTCAGGTGTAATTAAGGCAAATGTTAGATATCGTTTTTGGTGAATATTTAGTTAGTTATACCTAGGTATAATTTTAACAATAAAGCTTTTATTTTGTGTATTTTCACTTGCCCTATAGAATAAGGTATGATTAACTATCATATGAGTGAAATCATATGAGTGAAAGTGAAATGAGTCTTAGTAGGTTTTTAGAGACCTTTTAATTTCTAAACTTTATAGGGCTATAGAGCCATTGTTTATCATTATTCTTATTAGAAAACTAGCTTTTGCCCGCGACTTCGTCCGCGTTATCGTCGTTTTTCGTAAAAAAGTAGCATATGTCCTTCTTCAGGGTTCCGTGGTTTTGATGTGACAGACAGATTAACTTTCGTATTTTAGTAGGGAAATATAATACTGTTAAAAATATCGCAATAAGGAACCGCAGAATATTATTATTATCACTGTGCCCCGAGATCATCAGCGTGTAACTCCTTGTATGTTATTATGTTAGTGTATTGGTAATATTGTTTAGATCACTTTCACATGAGCCTTAAGTACATATAGAATGAAAATACTTCAGCGCAAAGCATCCGGGTAAACTACGTTGAAAGTTGACCCGTCCGGCACGTGAACATAAGGGTTTCTAGAACTGCTAACCCGGGAAAGAGCGACATATAACTGACCATGTGAAAAACAACTGACACCGAGATCTACTATAGCAACGCGAAAAGTCTGCCCTTGAGCCTTATTTATTGTCATTGCATAACACACCGATACTGGGAATTGCGTTCTTTTAAATTGGAATGGAAAATTATTTGGTATTATGGGAATTCTGGGAATAAAGATGGTTTCTCCTGCACCGCAACCTATTAAAATTTGAGCCTCGATTACATTTTGTTGCAACTGGGTTACTTTAAGCCGAGTTCCATTGCAAATTTGTGGTGGTCTAAATTTCGGAGCAGAATAATCGGAATGCCAATTTTTAAACAAATTTCATGAGAAGGAAGTACGGGCATATTTAAAGAATTTAAAAATTCTATCGGGTAATTAGTGGCTTCTTGTTCATCGGCCATTTTATTTATTGAACTATAAACTTTGCTTTCCCCCTGGATATTCGACAGTATTTTATTATTAATTTCAGATGCCTGGTCATTGCGAGGAGCTAAAATGGACCTTTCGCATAGCCAAGAATTGTTCTTATTTAATATATTTGTTACGTCACCGTAAACTGACGATGTAAGATGTTGTTGGGATTGCACTATACAACATAACTCAGGCGTCAGAATAAGTTTTCCTTGGTGTAGCAGTGGATAGGTATCTTTGGTGAAGGTATTTTCTTTAATAATATATCAGAAAATTCACGATCATCCGGGTTATCTACAGTTCTCACTCGCATGTTTATAGTCAAATGCACCGATTGTATATCATGCCACAAATAAGAGCTTTTCAGGCAAGCCCTAACCTCAGCAGCTCGGGTTCCCCGTGGTATTACCGTTAAGGTTTGTCGGAAATCACCACAAAATAAAACTGTGATACCGCCCATGGGTCGATCATTTTGTCTTATATCTCTTAAAGTTCTGTCTACCGCTTCTACTCCTTTTCGATGGGCCATCATACATTCATCCTATATGATTAAATTACACTTTGAACGAATATTTAAACACTACCAAAACAACTAATACGTGGTCCTAGACTCGTACTGACTAAAAAACACCCTTAGGGGCTGCCTCTGGCCGGGAAGGCCTCTAAGGCTTCATCGGAAGCGATCGTCCCCCAGGGGGGGAGCGACGCAAAAAACAGATTTAGACAGCTCACTCTCGGACCTTGGATACCCTACCGCTGCCGCGACCCGTGTCGAGCGCGGCAACCGTTACACAAAAATAATCCTTATAGCATGATTCAGTATTCACGTGCGACGGCGCAATGGCTTATTTCATGTATAAGTTTGGTGTTTCTATACCGAGTATTATAAACGTAAGAGTAAACAAATATGATCAGAATGCTCCGAACTGCTAAGCTATCGGGAGTTACACGTGTTATTGTGAGTCAACCATAAAAGATATGCTGTTGCGGGATATTTTTTAGACAATTTTATGTAGAATATTTCCGTCATACATGATTTCTATGTAACTTTAATCATTAAGGCTGCACACGCGACGGAAGCTTAAAAAATGGAGTAACTTCTCCCGTTTTCCCAACATTTTCCTTCACTACTCTGCTCCTACTGATTTTAGCGTGATGAAAAGTATACTATACCTGGGTTTACCTATAATGCGAAGAGATGGCGCTGCCTTGCAGCTTAAGAATAGCTAGAAGGAATTTCGACGCGGTCCGTGAGGGCCGCGGTAGCATAATTGGTCAGTGCATTCGCCCGGATTGCGAAGGGTGCGGGTTCGAGTCCCGTCTGCTGCCTGGTCGGCGTGGAATTTTGTCTAGTTATATTTTCTTTAGATTTAAACATCAAGCAGTTACATGCTTTAAAAATAATAAAAATTATAAGTATACTATAACCTGCCCAGGAGTATGAAGAATAATTGTACCAAGTTTCGTTAAAATCCGTCCAGTAGTTTTTGTTTCTATAAGGAACAAACACACAGACAGACAGACAGACAGACAAAAAATTTACTGATTGCATTTTTGGCATCAGTATCGATCACTAATCACCCCCTGATAGTTATTTTAAAAATATATTTCATGTACAGAATTGACATCTCTACAGATTTATTATAAGTATATAGATTATTGTATTAGATAGATAACGCATAGGACTACCTAAATAAATAGGCATCAAATCGATAAATGTAGAAATATACCGAATATAAGATCAAATTTGTTTGTATAGAACGATTTACTAAACTAAGCGCGCTCCCCACTCGACGCACACGGAGCGCGTGGGTGGGGCAGCGAAGCCCTGCGGCGGGCGAAGCCCTATGGAGGATATGGATATGAATAAATGATAAATAAAGTATAGCGGGGGTGAGGTAATGGATCGCTGGCCAGCTCAGTCCGCGCATATAAAATTTGAGTCGGAACAGGCTCCGACATACATTCAGCGACAGGCGCTCCTACCCTAAAGGAACAAGAAGAAACAAGCGGTTCACTCTGGACCTGAAGCCTCCTCTCAGCGGCCATCCATTACCAATGCCCACCGATTTCTTCAATACTGAACACTGGGAGTTTTATTCACCGAAGCTACAGTCCACTATCGCCGTCAAGATTCCTACGTGTAACTTCCTCCACCCCCAAGTACGAGTCGGTAACTGTCAGCTAATGCTACAGCCCGGCGTGCCGTACACTTAGCTTTCTTTGGTTAACGAAAGTTTCAAAATTTTCTCTAATCTGTGGCTCATTCACAATCATCACACAGTTTCTGTCACAGAGTACCTAGGTTATTATAACCGGAAATGACACCTGATTTTAAAAGTTACTCTTATGCATTAACTTTAAAAACAGGCAACTATCTGTTAATCTACATGCTCTTTATACCTGAACTAATCCATAATTTCGGTACTTGGCTTGATTTATCTAGTTTACTCTATAACTTATTTGTTTTTTATTATTTTAATATGTTCAGTGTATATGGTTTATAGAAGTTGTCAGGGGTGTCCGTCAATAATATTCGTTTCTACAGTAATTTATATAATAATTTCGAATCTAGGAAACAATTTTTCATGATTATTAGTCTTTAGGCCAAACATGTATGGAAGCTGAGCAATCTCCTTTCCTTAAATCAGTGATGGAAATTAGAATGATCGACTCTGCTATTATTAATTACTTATTTACTATTTGTTAATTCGTGCGTACTTACAAGGGCCTCCACTTTTTCTAAAGACTGATTCAATGGCCACACCAAAGGATTCGTATCGAAAATCTGTTGTCCCTTTGATACTGGCCGTGTTTCATGAATTTTGGTAGCCCCTGATCTATATTGAGCATCTAGCGTTTGTGTTGGACACAAGAATAATATACTCTAGAAATAATAAAAAAAAGTAAATGAGTTCAATATAAATACTATCCGCACCACATCAAGCTACAAGAAAATGCAGAATATTGTAAGAAGTTAGATAAAGTCTAAACTGCCAGAGTGGAAGAGAATTTTGATCCAATAAGAAAAAATATTAATATGATATATTATAATAATTTTAATTTAGTTGTGAGATTTGTTCTGTGTGATAAGGTCACTTCCCCAGACAGATGCTTCAATTCGACTAGAAACTTTTCTATGCCCTACCTCTGTGGAAAAATGGATTTTGAAAAGGTATCTTATGGTGGTGTTGCATTCCTGTTATGAGTCAATTCCAAGGCTCCACAGGATTGTAAATAGAGTTGATCGCGGTTGGACTTCATATACGGATGTTGTTATTTGCTGCGCCTTTCAAATAAGTAATAGTTTAAAGTTTATTTTATGAATTTAAACACTGTTTATTAGAATTGTGTTACGTACTTAATCTTTTCTATTGTTTTAAACCAATAGATAACATTTTATGACAAATAAGGAAATATTAATCCCACCAAAAACTTTTTTATATAAAATATTGCCGAGACCACAAATGTCTTACACTGCCAAAAGGTATCCGATCTCATGTAGAGCTAACATCCTAACCCTATAAGCCCTTATTCTGCAAGGCTACACAAACTCTACAGCTTGGTCAAAATATGTGGCATTTATTTTTCTCAGTACTATAAATATTCTTACTTTATAAAAAAGTCCCAAAGCTAATATCTTTCTGTACTCCGAAGACTCTTCTGGGGGATTGTCGACGACCACAATTTCACTATTCAAAATTTTAACAGCTTTTTGCAAAGTTTCATTTGTAAATAACTGCTTTCCAATCAAATTATTTTCAGTAGCGCTTCCTCTAGTGAACGGCGGTGAAAGACCACTGTATACAATTTTACATGATTCAACGATATTATCTGGTTGTTTCAATTTGTAGAAGAATCCAGCATTGACCATTGCATGAACATTTTGAGATCGAGGCATAACCTGAGAAAAAAAACTTTTTAATAACAAAATCGAATACAGGTTTTATGACAGAAAGTAAAGCATGATTTTGTTATAAAATTTAGGCTTACTTTGTATGAAACAAATTTGCAATCTTTATCATTATATGGCTGTAAAGACGCTTTAACAATAACTTTTCTGTTCATGTCAAGTTTTAAAAAATCGGCCATTGACACCATTTGTACTTGATTTTGGTTATTTTCTGAAAAAATATGATATTTCATTATATTAGAACATACTTTGTAAAACATACTTTAAAATAATTCATTTTTCTAAAACATTAAAAACTAACGTATCGTTAATACAGCGCCCACGGTCTCGAAGAGCAAAAATATATCAGAGGTAAAATCATTATGCTGATGTTTTATCATCAAATTACCAGCAATTGTTCCAATCTGCAACACAGACATTTATTTATATAGTACAAATCTTTACATCACATTGTTGAATTTCATTGATATAGGAATCATTTTCGTATTGGCAAATAACTAAAACTGACATACCGCAGTGCACCTACACAAAAGTAAATCTCAATTTACTAAAAAAGTCTATGCGTCCTTAATACATCTACTTAAAGTTAATGTTAACTGTGACGTTTAAATTTTCGTTTTGTTTTTTGCATTCGTAAAACTGCACACACCATGGAAGTCTAAGCAACATGCATCATTTACGCAAACAAATTTTATTAGTTGATATTTTTAGAATAATTATAGTTATTAAATATTATAATGTATTTCTTTGCTTTAGTCACAAATAAATCAAATTGGTTGTAATGAACAAAAGAACATCAGTATTAAAAATATTAATAATTGGATAAAGCAGGGCCCACCCTAAAAGTCAATAGTTCATTTTGATTAGACTCTTTTATGAGTATAAGTTTGTAATATATAGGTATATGTATATATAGTACTAGTGGCCCGCCCTCGCTTCGCTTCGGTATTTTATCCCCTTGGGGGGAGAATTGATCAAAATCCTTTCTTAGCGGATGCCTACGTCATAACATCTACCTACATGCCAAATTTCAGCCCGATCCGTCCAGTGGTTTGGGCTGTGCGTTGATAGATCACTATGTCAGTCAGTCACCTTTGAGTTTTATATATATATATTCTAGGCTTAACCCCAGATTTAATTAACATACTTACATTCTTCACGGGGATATGAGCAACTAGCTTGATATGATCTTCGAAGACTTTCAAATACGCAAAATTATCCTCTTTACTTATTGCGCTGCATATATTAGATAGTTCAGTTAGAGTTGTCCCTGCTCCGACTACCAGGTTTTGATCTAAATTCCAACCTTTAAATTCGGATACTCCAGTAATGTCTATCATCACTTTGGGATAGGAATCAATTGGATAAGCTCCTGTGAAATAAAAAAAGAGTAATATTCTTTTCTATGCTTTTGCTATGAACGATCCGTTAAAAGATTCCGTAAATGTTCGCTCTGTAGGGGAAAAAATCAATTCATTCATTGGTCACATGCGAAACGCCCATCACAACAAAACAGTTTCTCATGTGACCAATGAAACAAAGATTCTTTACACTAAATTTAACTACGATTTGGAAAGATAGTTCAACTCTCTCACCTGCAGTGCTATTCTGTAAAATTTTCGCGGATCCGATATGGATCCACATCGGTCCCGCGCATAAATATTTTACAGAGTAGCGCTACTGGGCAAGTCTCCCGGTTTTCCCCTAAGCACCTAATTATCATTTATACGATACATTATGTAATATTAAAAAATATATAAATTATATAAAACTAGGTAAAGTATTTCAGTATACTTATTATTTATGCAAACCTTTCGCTGTGTTTCCAGCTACCAACATATAAGAGTCATTTGGTTTCGAATTCAGAACCTCAAATATGTCTCCAATCGTGGAAACTCTGTACCAAAGCGTGCCATCTTTTAATTCAATTTCAATAATATTAGAAACATCGTTTGTAACGAAACACCATTCATTTTCACTGCATTTTCTTCGGTTGGAGCATGATCCAGATTTCCTGCAGATACTCAGGTCTTCTATATCAGAGGTAACTGAAGATTCCTCATAGTCGGTGGCAAACTTTTTAAATGCGTCCATTATTGACCTATATCCGGTACATCGGCAGATGTTACTTCCAAATGACTGTTCTATTTCTAGCATAGTAAGATTCTTTTTATTCTGCATTAGGCTAAAAAACAAGCAAAAATTTTAGTTTTTTGCTCCGATAAATAAATGTTTATAACTCATTTTTTTATTTACCTATACATAGCCATTACCCAGCCAGGCGTACAATATCCACACTGAGTACCATTCTCCTTTGCTAGATTAGTCTGAATTTGATTGTAGCCATCTTTTCTATTGCCCACTTTCTCCACTGTTGTTATATCCCAATCATAACATGATGCCACAGAAACTAAACACTGAAAACAAAGAAAAACTACAATATGTACCTGGAACTTCTAAAAAATATTTGTGTGTATACTTTTATTACCTTCAGCGAATTAAATCATAATGATAAATGAACCCACTAGATGCAGAAAGCGCAAGACCGTTATGTATGGAAATCCCTTGAGGAGGGAAAATCATTGGCCTATGTCCAGATGTGGACGTCGATTGGCTGCTGATGATGATGATAAATGAAAACTTGATGGTAAAAGATACTTGGCCTATTCGACGCTATTATTATTAATATCCCAAGAAATCTTATACATTACTTAGCTCGTAGTATGCAAGGTAAAATGATAAGGTAATGTTCTACATATGTCATTAATGTATTATTTCAAAATACTACTTGTACAATATGAAACATACGAATGATTTACGCCATTAATCTTGGTTAACGTTGACAAAAGGTGGAACAGAGACCATAACAAGACAGATAATTAACATTTTTATACATAATTGGTGATAAAATTACTATCGTATTAATTATACGAAAATCATCACAAGTTGCCAGCTATTGATAAACTTCTACTATGATTAGCAATAACGGCAAAAAACAACCGGCGGGATCTATCTTATTTTGTTTTAAACGTCATAAAAGAAACCAAAATAAATCTACAAATACTAATAATAGTCCTACCTCGGCTGGGCATCGAACCCGGGCAGCTCGAATAGCAGGCGAACTTTTTACTACTGAATCACCGATGCTTGTTAAGGAGATCTCTTTATTTTTTAATGAAAAATGTAAAGTGACTTGCTTATAATGAACGAAAAATAAAATAACATAATATAATACCAACACAAACCTAGCCTTTATCAAAACTCTCAGAATGTTCGGAGCAGTAGGTACAGACAGCCTAACGTTTAACCTAAATGATAAAAAGTAAACAAGACGTAAATCCCAAGATACTCCGTTAATTGCGTCTAATAAATCTGATAAATCGGATGGATGTGTTTTTTTATAGATGTAAGTATCTTACTCGATGTGCTGGATGACGGAGTGTTGAGCGCGTTTGTTTTTGATTGAATAGAAGTAATATAAATTAGTATAAAGCCATATAAAATTAATGACCAAAAATTTTATTATATCGATCTCCTTCGTATTTCATAAGACACTATTAGTAGTTCGTAATTTTTTGTTACAGGACATATCTTTTCATTGTTCTGATAAATAATTATGAAGGACTAGCCGCAAACCGCCCGCGAATATCCTAGGCTAGAGTATCCCATGCCTCAATCCAGGACATAAAGTATACGTGTACCAGATTTTATCAAAATCCATTCAGTAGTTTTTGCGTGATTGTATAACAAACATAAAAACTTTCACATTTATAATATTATTAGGATTATTAGGATAATAGGAAAGGCACGATCTCGCTGTTTAAGAATCCTGGGCTCAGGTCATCAAGGAGAGGTTGGCAGAAGCGGTACACTTCTTTACTGCATCAGCTACATAATATGTATAGTCCAGTCAGATATTATTGACTGCAGGACTTCCTGTTATCTTCACCTTGTATATGACTTAAGATGATATTATGATAAATCGAATTTTCGCGAAAATCCACGGGATATTGTGAAAACACGGATAATCAGACAATGACGATGACATTGTTCAATCTTACTGTAAACCATTTTTTTTTCTGGTGCTTCACTGATCGCTGCTGCGACACACTTGCTATGCTCACTCGGCTCGCGCTTCATGGTCACAACACTAATGTAGCCTAACCTAATGTGAAAGGTTTTTTTTTTTGGAAAAGACTTAACGCCTTCCTTCGCCACCGGGAACGTATGACGAGAATATCAGCGGACTCCTTCCTACTCATTTCACCCAGCCCGAAACCTAGATGAAATAAGCAGGGCCCTACCCAGTAAAACCAGAAAATAATCCTGCGCCTGTCACCCGACACCCATTCTGAGGACCAAGGTCCCTCCATGCGTGTCAGGAGTGTGGGTTGAAACTGCGAGAACTAAATACTCCGCGGCGCCGCCGGTGACTGTCCGTTTCCGGACTCACCCCGACGTGCGGGTCTCCGGAGCATCAGAGGCACCACACACCACAGGAATCATGCAATGCAGACTGGGGCTCCCACAGCAGCCCGCTGGCTCCCGGAGAAAAGGGAGGGGCAGCGTAGTTCTCCCCGTCCCTCACCCCTAGTGAAGGGGCAGGCGCCCCTCTCCCGATCACATGCGTCTCCTATTCCGTTCACCTAAGAGATGGGAGGGTAGACGCAGGCGACAGAATTCGGTGGAGATTCCGAGCAACCTAAACTACTCAGACATCTCTCCCTCTGGGGGCGCCTGTCCAGGTGCTGACGACTCGGCGACCTCTTTACCAGGGGCTTTAGCATTAGTAGCAGGAGGGTCGCACCTCTTACTCCCCATAACGTACCCGGATATCCGACAAGTGTCTGCGCGTATTGCACAGCGGAACGGGGCGGTGCACGTCGCCGCCTTACCTAGTGTGAACCTAAGAATATTTATAATAAGCCAACGATTTTTTTGCTATCTAACTGAGGTAACTCGCGTTTTTGCAAAAATCCTATCTTTTTTTAAGTGAGATTGAGGAATGTCATCCCCGTTGTCTAATTATCCGCGTTTTCGATATATATTTTCTGGAAAAACATACACAAATTACAAACCCGTAAAAAGACTTACGGAATTGACTGCTATGGGCGTTTCCCCGGGGGACTTTACCGCAGTGACGATACAAGCTCCGCAGCCACCTTCACGACACATGTATTTAGTACCACGGAGCTGCAAGTACTTCCGTAAGTAATCCAACAGCATAACATCGGAGCTTATTTCATTGCCCACTGAAAAATAATTGATAATGAAATAAATTAATTAATTTTCTTACTAAACACGAAGCAAATAAGATTTTTGTTATGGAGTTTGGTTATTTCAGGAATACAAAATAACTGATAAAGAGGACAGGCTAACAACTTTAAGTAAAAAAATATATAAATAACAAATATGGACTCGGCTAAATTATTTTGCTCGTTTTTTGAGACAGATATTAGGTAGAAAATTAAAGAAAGAAATAATTTATTGACCAACAACATTAAAAAACAGAAAAAACATAAATAAAAAAAATACAGAATAAGGTCAACTAGGTCCCTGCCTCAGCACAATGCCACAGCGACAATATGGCCGCTGCGGCGCTGATATTCTGGCAGGACCTAAGGTTGACGTGAATAAAAGTAGTCATAAAAAAAACACACGCACAATCACGTTTAAAAAGTACCACAAACAAAGAATAAAAAAATATATATGAAAAGGCTGTTATTTTTTTCTTTTGCCTTAGCGCAAATAATAATAAAAATTATAGTAAAAGAAAAAAATAATTGGGTTTTTGGCGGGATTTCATCGAGTGCGGTTGGCGTCTTATTTTAATTATTCTTAAATTCGTTCATAGTGGATATTGTGAAATAAAATTGGTGTGGTTTTGTGTAACAATTGTCTGCGTAACTGAAGAATTAGTGGAATCATTAAAATATACGCTATTCCGGTCAAGTGGACGTGAGAATTTTATTGTAGTGTTGACTACCTCACAGAAGCTTATCGAAAAAGCCAACTCGATACATTTCGTGATAAACACTCCAAGAAACATTAGAATGCGTCACACCGACATTCTAATGTATAAACAAAAAGATGATAAATTTAATTAAACACCAGGCTGGCAGAACTTCAACAAAAAAAAATAACTATAATAATCTCTAATCTGTGGGTGGTCTGTTAAATGTGTTCATTTATCTGCAGCTTTACTAAGTACCAACGTGGTGGCAACAAACAAGATGGATGGCGTGTGTACTTTATTGATGAGGCTCAAATGCAACAATAACAACAAGTATAACGTTCTTTACGACAATAACCCAGTGCTGGCTATTCAACCGGAATGAGCCCCCGCAATACTAGAAGTGAAAACTAGATAGTGAGTCGCGAAATCTAAGACAATATCTGAAATTTGTAGTAGATATGTTTTGATGTGTTTTTTGAACACTTTAAAAACATCTTTTATCTATTCTCATGTCGAAAAGTTCAAACTACGCATGCATGCGCCTCATTTTTCACATTCAGCCTAATATCGTAACCTTAATTAATAAATTAAAAAATAAAAGTGTATTATAATGAATAAAAAGTTATTTTAGACTTTAATAATAATGGTGGATTATAACCACTAAGTTTTTGGGAACATGCACAAGTGTTGGCAAGTGTACAAAATAGCGGAAAGTGTCTTTCGACGTTCCCTCAAGAAGTCCACGGGGCGGTTCCAGTAAATCCCCACACTTTTACTGAAACATAGGGAAAGGGGGATTGACTTCACTGCCACTTACTTTGACTTGATTTATTACTTTGACCACGAGTGCTAAAGTATTTGTAAACATTTTAACACTTGACATTGGCTTAATGCACAAGCCGTGTGAAGCCATTTAGAAAAATAATGAGTTTTATTTTTAATGCTATGTATGAGCGTTTATAAAGTACGTCTGTGTAGAACCATCTTTAAATTCAACTCGAATTTAGCAGTACTACTAGCTGTATCTTAAAATAACTTTTTATTAATAATACACTTTTATTTTTTAATTTATTATTGAAGGCTACGTTAGGCTGAATGTGAAAAATGAGGCGCACGCGTAGTTTGAACTTAATTTTCCGCGCTTCTCCTACAATTTTCTACTAATCGTGTTTTGCTTTTTCTATTTCAGAAAAGTTTTGCAAAATACTTTTTTGTTACCTTGATACTTAGTTTAATTTCAATTGTTCCTATGAGTAAAGATAAAGTAATTAGTGTATGCAACTGCATATTATTTAGGTATCAAAACACTCGGGTCAACCAATTATATATCGATAAACAGACTCTCGTGTTGAAGGTCCACTTGCAGCAGTTTTGCTTAATCTCAATTCAACTAAAATAAGATAATTCCATAGAAAAATGTCATGATGGCAAAGTCACTTTGACATTATTGTATGGGCTATATCTTTTTTTAGTTGAATCGAGATTAGCAAAATTGCTGCAAGTGGACCTGTCCCTGTAGCATGAGCACCACGATTTACATTATATACCGTTTTTATCGTGTCTACCCCTTCGTGAATGAAGAAAAAGTTTCTTATGTGAAAAGAGAGGGTTTCTTATATGAAAGTTGCATAAACTACTATTATACAAATCCTGGCCTGATAATAACAATAAAAATACAGCCTATGTGATGCTCCATCATACATGAGAAATAACTAAATTTCTTATTACAATACCTTCTTTAAAAATAATTTATCACTTATTCAGCACAAATTGAGAACGTTTCATACGTACCAGAACATGTTATTCCATTCACTGTAAACTTTATTCTCGCCATTTTGCACCTTGCCCACGATAACAATAAATACGTAATGTTACTAATGAACAGAACACTTATCGATAAAGGGTGTTCTTATATACGTCCTAATAAGCGATAATAATGAATATTCATGAACGCTAAGTTAACACTAGAAATGCGGGCGTAGCGATGGATAATTTCAGAATTATTTATTTTTTTGCCACACACAACCTCCCGTCACTTTGAACAAAATTGATTATATTATAAAAACATCAAAATGTTATTTTACTTTTATCTGTAAAAATAAAGCAATTATAGCATGTGATGGTTTGTAATGAAAAACAGGCGACCAATTGTCATACATGTCTTATTCGTAAAAATTTAATATGAGTCCACACATTGACAAAGTAATTTAAAAGCGTTGTTGGTACAAATCTGGACAATCTTTAAATTATGAACTAACTTTTTCTAAAGAATGCAATTCTTATTTAAATCAAAATTAAATTGGATCCCTGTTTAAACTGCAGTGAGCCTTATGGCTCGAATGACCCCTCGTCGTCAAACAAAATTTTTTTAGATAATAACGAGTTTTCTAGTTTTAATGTCTTTGTCCGTCTTTTCTTTTGGTTTCTGTTTACTTTGTATATTTAGCGCAAGTGGAAAACAAAATTAATGCACGAAACCGGTGTTAATTGATAAGAAAATTATTCAGGTGTTTTCAGTGTTTAGTTAGGCATAATTTCTTTCGGCAATTGAGCGAAGAGACTAAGGTGATAACGAATTCTTAAAATTTTAATGGACCCTGGATGAAGATAAAGGAGTTCTAAACGCGATTCTAAAATTAAAATTATTACCTATTTTTTATTATTTATTTTTATGACAAAGATTCACCAACAACATATAATTTTACATTACAATTTGAAAAAATGTATAATTACCATACTTAAAGATATGCTTTTTTAAAGGTGAATACAGCATTCACATAAATACAAATAAATAACAATGACAGATTAAACAAACAAAAAATATATCCACCGTCATGAAAAATAGGAATACTGATTTATAATATTATTTAGTCTGTGTTACGGTCCAATTTTAATTTTTCCACAAACAACTTCTCAAATACGCGCTCAGAATCGTGGAAAACGTCGACACTGCAGTCTTGTAAATCATTGTAGGTACGCATACACCGGTATAAAGGAGCACACTCATCAAGTCTAGTATTGTTACTTTTAATATATTTGTTGCATCCAGTCATGATTACGGATTACTATAAGCGACGAGATGGAAAGGGTCCTAGGCAGTGATAGGATTCAACTACATTTTGGTATATTTCAAAATCATAGTGCGAATAACGACTGTGAAGTTAACGCAAGTTCAGGCGCAGTAAATGAAAAGTAGGGTGTGGCGCAACGCATACGGGGAGATAATAAATTATGTACTACGCGCCTCCAAGCGTGACCAAGGGCCAAGGAACAGTGCGTGGCGAGTTTGAGCGCGGCCTAGAGTCACGGAGCGGAGTAGCACCCACCCATAATTTGTTTTATATAGATCCTTTCTATAGGTAGTAATGCTTTTAGTCCATTCCAAACATAGACCAATTTATATTAAATATTTGATGTTGATTTACACATTTCGAGTCGACATTTGCATCTCTAGAGAATATTATATCTCTAAAACTGTTATGCATTTATGCTTCTTTAATTTATGCTTATTCTATTATTTAGTACCCCTAGCACGAACCATTATCGAATTCGAATAGTTTTCAAACCGAAATATTAATGTCAAATTTTGTATGGAAACTTGAACAGCAGCGGCACAAAGTAAGTGGTCCGTGTATGTCAACAAACCTATTTTCAACCAATGACAAATTTTGTATATGTTTTATCATTGTTTTCAACTGTGTAAATTAGTTTCTAGTATACGAATGTTGCCTAATATCAATCAATATTGAATCAACCTGGCACCCACATAAAGCCGAGTTCGCTATAACGCAGCTACTTTTGTAAAGCCCTAGTTTTGGTGAAGTATGGGACGGGACCATTTACGTTTTAACGACTGTCATCTTAGGACAACAGCTGGTTCCAGTTTGACCCAACATGCCTTCTGCCTTCTGAAGGACGGATAATTCTGGCGATCTAAATTCATCTCTCATACTGCACGGGGATACAATTTATTATATCACAATGATAGCGAAATAATCTTTGCACTGGTTGTGAAAATTTCAATTTCTCGTAATGCAAGAAAAACTATAACAATGTTTTCAGAAGCAAGATAATATAGTAGCCTATATTTTTTCATGTTCCCTGCTATATGGAAGCTCACAGAATATTAAAAAAGGTACTTATGCAAGGTTTTCCTATGCGTATTAATGTAATGATACCGATTTCGATTTTACTTCTGCTTTGCAGCTATTGTATTATTGAGCTATTTTTTATAGTCCACATTCCTGTAAGTCAACATAATTCTAGTAATGTTTATTTGCGCACGAAATGTCAGATTGCATAACGGTTGGTATTAAGATCACCACACCTCGCAATTACCTACAAACTATGAGATCTCAACGAAATGATTGTGTTAAGGAATCAAAAAGCTGAGTCACTAAAGGCGGATTGAACTTTACAAGTACTCTCATAGTGCCCGGATACGATAATTGTACGACTAATTGTATCATACCTACAGACTATGCTACAATCATACATCTATTTGATTTAAGTAGAAGCAAATAGTACCTTACCTATATATACATAATTTATACTTTAATACCTTTACATTTGTATTAAGTAATCAAACATAATATTTGTACTGTTTGTAATCCCGGATTTCCACTGTGTTATATAATATTATATTAATATGGCACCAAAAAATTGATTTCGACAAAGAAATTAACTTAAAAAGTTAAAAAAATGTATATTTGTATATACAGGGTATATTACTGACAAATTGAGAATCTCCTGCATTGAAAAACTGCTGGGCCTGTTAAAAAGCTTGATACTGTTAAATAAGAATATTTTGATACTTTTAGAAATTTATTATCTAGGGCCTACGTCTACCATCTCGTCGTCTACTATTAGTAAGCCCTAAGTAATAATTTTCGGCTGCTTATGTGGCGCCTGTATTAGTGTAACACGGGCTTTCTTACAATGGAGTCGCATTTCTATTGCTTTACTTTATAAGGCTTAAAATAAACGGTGACGTAACACTCATGTTTTTTTTTATCTTTCATCTTAATATTTGCGTGACCCAAATTATTGTAGGTGGCTCAAAATACGTTTGCTAAATTAGCCTTCATAACCTTCATTTTATCGACCAGTGGGTATGCAATCTCATTCTATTTAATCTAATCACGAGTTTATATTTTTTATTGTTTTCTCAGATGTAAAGCTTTGCTTCCGCATTACAACTGGTAGATACTTGAAACGAATTTATTTTTAATCAATCTTATAATTTGTTTTATAAAAAGGTCCGATAGATGACTCCACCTCACCTAATGTTAAGTGACGGTGGAGTCAGACGCGAATATAGCATGTACAGCAGTTCCACCTGCCACACCAGCCATTCTCTCCTAGCCGGCCTACATATTATCTGTTGCCTGCTTCTTCACGCCTCTTTTAAAGAAATATAAGGATTATATGAGGAAGAGGAACACGTGGGCGGACAAAGCATTCAATTAGCGGATAGTGCAACAAAGAAATGAGTCAACAAATGTCTTTGTTCGCGTTGGAATAGTGGCCGCAGTCGGGGACAACATATGCTGGCGTGCGTGGTCCTCTGAAGGTAAGAGGAAGGTGGGATAAAGGTGAATTACTCCTCATAACACTCGCAAAGTTAGATATGGCAAGCCTTTCCTATAAACAGATTGTGGCGAATGGGCTACAAACCACTACGTCCAGTGAAAATTGATTTTGGTCACCTATCCTATAGCCGGGCCTGGCTAAAGCACAAACAACAAAATTACTTCTTTATTTCATATCACAAAAAGCTTCAAAGCCTGTATACTAAGCTCATGATACCCCTCATATCTATTTTAGATTGAAACGTACTGTATGAATGTTGTATTTTGGGTTTCCGCAACTCCTATATAAGTCGTGGGATCTTGCCTTTATCTCTTAGATAGACATACGATAACATATAAGTGAGATTTTTAATCAAATAGTTTCTTTCCGACGTTCATCTGTGTTGCGACAAAGTGAATCCTTCCAAAGCTCGCAATATAACCACAGGAGAAGCGGTTTTTCGTCAAAAAATCTTTTTCTGAAAACAAAAACCTTATTCCCTATTAATATTTTTCTATAATTGAAAATTTAAATTTGAAACTATTAAATAAATAGTAAAAGTATTCAATTTAAATCACTACTGAATAAAATTTATTAGCACTAAAGAATTTTAACTACTTTGGTAAATAATATACAAACATTGGAATGAAAATTAGGAATTAATTATAAATTAATTACTAAATAGCTAAAATAACATTACGAACAAGAATACATACAAACATCGTCAAATATCACCCCGTATTGTTTCTGGCGCAAAGGTGCGAAAGGTGATTCGTAATTGAAAATAAAACTACGTAACAATAAATAGCACAGTACATCAATAGAATGATATTTTATAATTAATTTTAGTTCTTTTACTTGGATCAAAGTGTGTGCGTGTTCCTCTATGACTTTGATATAATATAAATTCAAATCTCTATGAACTTGAAAGCCATATTTTATTTTAAATAAATTTTTAATTTGAAATATTTTGCAAACTACAGATTGTACGTTTCTTTACTCATATGATAAAACCCCGTTTTCGATTCATAATGGGACACAATAATAATACCGTTGAGTTTTTACTTTAGAGTTAAGTACATGTGAATGCGATAATTCTGACACTGTCTATAACATTTATTTTTATGTATGAAAAAATCTGACTTCAATTACACTAAAAAAATTACATGCGAACAGTTACAAATCAAAGTTTTACAAATCCTCGCGATAATCGATGTTGTATTTTTCAGGTAGCCAAAGTATCTAATAAAAAAATACCTAAATATTTCAATATTTTTAATAATTATATTATATGATAATAATAACTAATTTGATATATTA